AATTAAGATGGCATACCTTGAGGAGGCAACAGCATAGGACAGTGCTGTCTGGCCACTGAAAAGAAAGTAACTTACAGGCAGCATGAAGAGAGGCTGCACAACTGCAGATAAGGTACACAGTTTTGTGGAAATCTGTCTGAAAACAGGCTCTGCATAGCAGAAAAGCTTAAATATCACACTGTAACTATCAAGAGTTTTGTTTTTAAAGAGTGTGTTTTCCTTCAGACCATGTTCTAAACATGCACTACTGTGCTGCTCTGCAGCTTAATACATGGGAGTTTCCAATTGCTGTCTACATCCAAAAGAAACAATCCTCACTTTGCAAAATTCATTTGCAGAAAAAAAAAATCTAGAGATAGTTATATAATCTTTTTTTTTTTTTTCTTAAAATGGGAATCAGTGTTTTTTGAGTGTGCTGAAGACTGTTTCAGACAAGCCTGGCAGTGACCTAGAGGTGATTTTATGTACATTAAAAATCTAGATGTGCCATGCCCTGCTCTCCAGCAGAGGGACTTCCACAGCTCAGCTCGCTTGAAACCTTCTCTTTTTTTGTGACAGACATGCTCAGTGCACACAGTATCCTGAATGTCACAGGGATGTCCGAGCCCATCGATAGAGTGTAACCCTTTGTCACCCTCAAGTGAAGATGTGCATGACAGGATGCAGGGAAACATCACAGTATTGCAGTGATACCTGTGACTCCAAATCCTTCTTGCTTTACACAGGTCCCCTGACCCCTGAGCAGGGGAAAACACCTGACCATGCCTGGCACAGAAGTCTCAGGCTCCAGCAGAGACTCCAGCAATGTGGGTGAGGACTTACTCATTGGGGCACCTGTCAACCATGTTTATTGTACTTTATAAACCCCACGTGGCAGCTAAATTCTACTGTCCTTTGTCCACTTAGGCAGCTACAAAAGACTGGAACTTGGTTTTGTTTCTGTATAAAGGCCAAACTCAGATGAACTTTTACTATCTCTAATGTTATCCACACATTTCTCGTGTCTAAGATAAACTTACTGTAATTTACAGAACTTTTATTCATTCCCTGTAAGTTTTCAGCAAACACTGGAGAAAGTTTATAAAATCATAGAGTCATTTAGGTTGGAAAAATCCTTAAGATCAGCAAGTCCAACCCTTAGCCCAGCACTGCCAAGTCCACCACTAAACCATGTCCTCAAGTGCCACATCTACACCTTTTCAATAAGTCCAGGGATGGTGATTCCAGCACATCCCTAAGCAACCTGTTCCAATGCTTGACAACCCTTTCTGTGAAGAATGTTTTCCAAATATCCATACACTATATCCTGTGTGTCTAGTCCTGATCATTTCCTCTTGGATTATGGGTTTTCATTCTTCTCCCCATTCCTCATCTCCCAGATCAAAGGGCTGGTATCTGGAAAACAACTATTAAACACTGAGGCAAAGGAAGCATTCTCATCCTTTTCCTCATCCTCTGTCACTATGTTTTTCCTGCACAGCCAATAAAGGATGGAGATTCTCCTTAGCCCTTCTTTTTTTTTGAAAATATAGAAATACTGTCTTTCATGGCAGTAGCCAGATTAAGTTCCGCTTGGGCTTTGGCCCTTCTGATTTTCTCCCTGCATAACCCTTTTCCTCCTGAGTCACCTGTCCCTTCTTCCAAACTTCACATTCTCTCATTTTTTCCTGAGTTCCAGCTAAAGCTCTGTTCAGACAGGCTCATCTTCCAGCACATGAGGGCAGCCTGCTCCTGCACCTTTAAGATTTCCTGCTTTCCTTCTTTCCTCTTTACAAGGCAATGTGTGATATCTAGAACATTTCTCTGCTACATACACTCCTTTCTTTAAGATATTTATATTAATATATGCATTTAGGAAATACATCTATATGCCACATCTGTAGCTCAGAAAATGCTGCATGCTCCTGTCTTATCACAGTTTTGAGCTCCTCACCTGACCTTGTCTGCTACTTCCTTAAACTTCATCCTTTCACAATCACTAACTTCAGTTCCAAAATAAACTCATGTTTGTATTGCAATTTAAATTGAGCCAATTCACAACTTCATCCAAGGTTGCTTCACACAACCAGCTCTTTCCAAATGCCCTCTCCATTTCCCAGGACTGAGGACAGAATGGCAGGCTCTCTATTGGCTCAGCATGTTCTGGCTACCACTACACTGCAGAATTTTTAGTATTGTCCATAAGAGACCAGCCACATAATTCATCTCTGCTTTAAGCCCTTTCTCTGTATTTATAAGCAGTCACTCTAAGCTTACCATCCATAAATATGTTCTGTGAATGCTAACTGGTTAATCCTCACAATTCCTACACCAGTAAGCAAAAAAGAGATAAGAAAATAAAGTATAGGGGGAATTAAATGTCAATAGTTACATACTGAGCCAATATTTTACAGGAATTGTAATATAGGTTTCCTTTCATCAGGCCTATTTTTAATTACTAAGCATCCTCACCACTTCTTTGAATGATTCTGTAATAAAAATGCTGGGCTGGGAGAGCTCAGTTGCAGATCTTTTTCCCCCAATTAAACATCTTGAAAAACATCAATTTGGGATCCATGAAGATTTGAGAAAACCAATTAACAGTAATCTGCCCTTACCCAGATCTTGTATCCCTGTATGAGTGCTAGCTGTGCCCATCTGATCAACAAAGTGGTGGACAACACAATGCAGCCTCTTAATCTTTTGGAAAATCTAACTGTTCGTTGTGATGTGGTTAAGGAAACCAGTATCAATGCAATCAATAGCCACAGCACACAAAAATAAATACCCTGCATGCCACAATCTGTCAGACTCAGAATGGGCTAACAACCCAGACATTTGGAACACATTTCACCTGTCATGGATTATTTGCACATTAAGATAGAAAAGGTGTTGAAAGAACACAGTCAAAGTAATGTTTGTATCTGACAATGACTTTTGTCATGTCACTGAAATCACGGTCAAATCCACAGCTTTAAAAATTATGCTATCATCATAATTGGCAGCATAATAGATGGGCAGTAAGAGATTGTCAGCTTGAAGGGAAGACTTAAGGAGAGAAAGCTTGTGCTATTTTTTCTTGTTTTTCATGAAGTCATGACCGTACCATACATTATTCAATTAACAAGATCACCCTCCTACAGTCACTTGAAAATTCCTCTTATCATCTTTGTTCCTTTCTTCTGTATGAACTGAGGTGGATTTTTCCTCCACAGTTTCAGTGAACCCTGGCTGCAGCTTCTAAGAAGCTCATTATCTCTTCTATCACATCAGCTTCTGCTTTCAAGGCTTATTGTTTAGTTCTTAATATAAACTGAGACGCTAAAATCCCTTCAAAACACCCAAGGTGCCTTTGCCACTGCACAACCAGCAAAGCATCATGTGTGCTGTAAGACCCATTTAATCAAAATCAGGCACTACATGAACACTGGGACACTCCAAACCTTTGGAAGTACAATTACCCTAATTTCTTCCTTAGATGAAGGGACATTTGACTCGTTATTTAAATGGGCTGTCATTTTAAGTCTCTATTATGGATTTTATTTGCTTATGTAAAACATGTTTTAGAAATGTGCAGGGGTCAGTCAGGCATTGTGTCTGGCAGGGCTCAGGAGTAATGCAATAGCATCAGTTCATACAAGTTACAGAATTGTAACCTGTATACGGACTAGGCTACCCAAATACAACCTTCCTAACAAGTAGCTAGCTGTCTGGAGGGAGTAAATCAACCTTTCTTTTCTGGTCTTTACTTTGGCCAAGACCTTAGAGAAGCAACTCACCAAGCCACAAACAACACAAACACGTGATTATTGCAAAGTAGTCCTCAGGGAATTTTTCACTCAAACCTTACTGACCTTATAGGATTTTGGGGACTAATTCCCTGAAAGCCAATCAAAAATTCCTCATCTAAATAAGGGTGTCTGTGTGTGTGTGTGCACATATATGTATGTGCTCATGAATACATATGTGCCTGTGTCTCTGTGTGCACATGCACAGCCTGACACACGCAGTGATCCGTGGGCCTGCACATGTACACATGGTGATGCAATACCAGAGTGCTTTGACAGAAAACATCCACATGATGTTGAAGTGAAACCTCTTCTTTCAATTGCTACTCTCAGTACTGTCAAGCTAATAATACAGGACTGTGCAACAAAATGGTACAATATCAGCATTAGCATATAAAATAAAGGTAAGTATAGGTTTCCCATGTCTTTATTTCTTTTCCATTTTCTCTCTGTTGGAGAAATTTGCCAAACCTAAACACTTTCATTTCTTTCTCAAGGGTCTATGTGGCAGTTTAGGTTTTGAAAAGGGGGAAAAAAGTATCTCTGCTGAAGATAAAAAGAGATGTTGCCCCTTTGATTTGTTTTTTGACTCTTAACGATACACAATAAATATAACTACAGTGGACTATTAAATAGTCCTGTAAGCATTACATGGTCTATAGCTGAAGAGAATTTAGCTGCCTTAACTAAAGAAAATCACTTGCTGTAAGAGCAGTTTTCAGGACAGTGATAAATCACAGTGTAATACAATCATGCATTAATCTCAAATCAAATGTGAGACTGGCACAAATATTAAAGTACAACTGGGCAGAAGTCAGGTATGTACAGGTCATTGACAAACATTGGTGCAAGTGCTTTAGACAAGACATTTAAAATAAATTTACATAAAAACATAGATTAAATTTATCAAAGTTTGATAAATTTCAAGGACAGTAAAAAAGTACAGAAAACATGAAAAAATAAAAAAACCCAGCCAGTTCGTACAGTTCAGGTTTACTACGCTTACATTACAGAATGAAGACAGAAAAAGCTACAAGGAATTAAGGGCAAACAAAATTCTGCTGGCTATGGCCAACGGAATTTCGTCGCCAATGAGAGATGCGCACACACGCACAGAAAACAAAGACAAAACCCAAAGAAATCATTTACTGTAACAAAAGACAGACAAAGGAGTGAGAAACATTTGGCATGTTGCAGCACATGGAGTCATTCACGATTGGCTAACGATGGTACCTGGCTCGGCTGAAGATCACTGCTTTGCCTGAGCGGCGTGACGGACGCGGGAGGCACACCTGATGTGGATGCAGAACGACCTAGTCTGCAACTTGCTTTAGACTCTGCAAAGGAAGAGAGAGAGAAGAAACACCAGTGAACAGGAGGTGGCTTGTAGCTGCAGTAAACTGAAACGTGATGGAACCAGGATTCCCTTGAAATGGAGACTCCAGGCTTGGTTTCTAGTTAAAACCTTGGGCATTTGGCTGAATCATGAACAGACGTTGAGATCAGAGTAAAAGGGATTAAGACTCATCCCATGTCCTGACCTCTGCTCTAGCATCTCTGAGGCTGAAGTACAGGGCCTGAAACACAGACAGACAGGAAGAATGTAAAAAAACCATTCTGGTTGCTTCCCCACCCCAGTGCCTTTTCCACTCCTCATATAACACAGCAGTGATTAAGGGAGTTACAGTGGCTTCTGTCTTCATCTCTCCATCCCAGAGCTGAGGGACATGCCAGCCCAAAGACTGATTGTGCTGAGGGAAAGCATGAAATGCCAGAAGAAGTGAGTGTATAAAGGGGGTGAGGATACTGTCACACTTGGGGATTTGGAATGATACCAAAAATATCTGGAAATCTGATGTCAATGGCAGTGAATTGAGAGACATAAGTAGGAAGACAAGAGACAAATCAGAACATCAGTAGTGGCAAATTCTGAGGTCAGTTGCCCAGAATCAAGGTGATTACAGAAGCAGGGGTTGCCTTTAGAGAAAGCTCCATTTCAGAGAAGGACTCTGCAGAAATTGCAGTTATTTCATTTTCCTTCTGCTGTTGTGCATAGAGGCATTTCCAGAAGGCTTCCCACTGATTTCCAGCACAGGTTACTATTGTACATACAGCAGGTTGTACGTATACAAGGTGACCATGCAGCTCAGGAGGCTTGGATGAAGGTTTTTATGTGTGAGCCACGCTGACACCCATGTGCTACCCCATGTTCAACACCCCACATCTGGCTTGGAGAAAACTGACTTTTCCCCAGAAAAGAGTCTGCCTGTTTCTGCCTGAGAAATGTTTTTGTCCCTTACATGCTGAGGAAATATCTCCCAACCCATGACTCTTGGCTCAGATGAATGTGTTCCTTCTCCTCATGTTTCCAAGTCTTCTTCCCAACCCTGCACCTGTTTTTCCTATTTAGTGGGCAAACACTGAGATAAAGAGCATTTGCAATCACCAGACAGACTTTGTGCAACAACAGACTCTCACTTTTAGCACTGACAGTACTGCTTCACCATGAATAACAATTATAATGCCATGCCTCATTACAATTTATAGAGCTTTTAATTTTTTTAAATAAGGTGTAAAGAATTCCTCCTGTTCAATCTCATGTTTTCAAGAAGATAGGAAGGACCTATGCCTTGTGCAATCCTGGTTCAGCAAGTTTTCGTTCGAAGCACATATTTTCTTACATATCTTTTGCTTCTGTCTGTCTGAAATTTATTTTCTCATGCCTCATTTACACTGCTGCTTTGTCTGTGTTTGTTTCACACTAATTTGTCTATCTCCTTTGCAGATCTCTAGTATCATCACTAGCCTTTGGCTGGGCCATGGTTTGAAAAGATGTCTATCACCAGTATGTTCTTACAGTCACTTGGCACACCTTGGAAACTTGAGGACAGCTGGCACATTACTCCACGTACCAGCAACATGCTGAAATGGATTCTTCCAATCACACTGATGCTTTTTCATTGTCACCTTAAATGCTTATTTCCCTTAGATGTTTCAGAATTAAACAGGGTGTGGAGAAGAGCTATCCACTTATGCTGGAGCACTTAGGCCAATGAAAGCATCTGTATGGGTGAATATATTCATCAACTAAATATTAATAGGTTGGTTAACATCCAGCTGGCTGAGCAGCAAAAATATTTATGCTGTTTGATGAATGCATTATTCAAGTCACTCACTCCTAGTCAGTCTGTAAACATAGCACGAGTCAACACGGCAATAGGCAGACAGAAAGGAGCAGACTACCCTCGTCCATAACCTTGCAGTTTGTATGTAATCTGTTGTTTTTCTTTTTTTGGACTTGGGCAGTTATTCTGAAGGCTGATTAGGACTTGTTTTTGTTCTGATTTCACACTGTCTGTGTGCCAGGTTTTTGACTGTTCCTTTCAGCAATATAGATATAATAGTGGAACTCATTATTATATCTCATCTCTCATCTCCTGCAGTTTTGTTGGGGTTTCAGAGAGGACGAGAATTGGGTTGGGTTTTTTTTTCAGTTGTTTTTCTGTACTGCTAAATAGAGACTCTGTTTCTGCTGTGACAAGCAGAATCAGACACTCAGCATGTAAGAAAACTCCAAGGCACTGTCTGCCTATGTTTCTGAATTATTTTTTTTTGCTTTGGGAAAGCAGAGAGAAGTGTCATAATTTCCAATTTGGATCTATGTGCAGTAACAAGAGAATACCATTCCTTGGCAAAGAGACTCCTTTCATCTGGCATCAAAGAAATAAAACCTATCACATACAGATGAAGTATTAGTTCCTTTATCTCTCTCTAATATATGTTAGAGTATTAAGGAAACTGTTGTGATTTCCATGGTGATACTCACCAAAAAGGGGTTTCAGAGGGGTTTCAATGATGGTTCCCTCAAACGTTTTATTTTCATTTTCAAGTTCATAAGTTGAGTTGTGCAATGAGAGGGAATATTTGTTAGTAGCCATTGGTCTCAGTGGCAATATTGTTAGACCAAATAAATACTGTATTCTGTGGTAATTAGTGGTCTGAGTAACACCTTGACACTACACACTACTGTGGGGAAAATAAACCCCATCCATAAATGTTCTGTTGTATAAGTGATGGTCAGCTCATTGCTCTGTATTCTGCAGCATGTTATTTTTTCCAGCTATGGACAGCCTATTTATTCCCTGTACTGGTGCTGTCTGGCAGCATTAAGGAGGAGAATTTTAGGAGAGACTATCTAGTACAGAAATACAGGCTTTCCAATCACAAATAACATTGCCTTAAAGTTGTGTACTTAATTATTCATTTAAGCACATAAATGACCTGTTTTCCAAAGGTGCAGGGCTGTCATGGGGACTAAAGATGTAGAGGTTGCATCTGGGACAGGGGGGTGTTGTTGGATTTTCCTCAGTAAAGCACAGTGCTGAAAAGTGACAAGATTTTATGGAAATATTTTTGATCAGTTTTATACCAATGCGCAATGGGTTTCCATATTCTCCAGTACAACAGCTCTGCATGATTTTTATTTTTGGATCTTAATGGGAAGGCTCTTTTATTCATCCAAGGAAGGCTTCATTCTGCCTATCCTAATCTTAATTCAAAAAAATACTCTGGCTGTCACTTACATTGGAGAAGCTTCTTATCCTGTCACAGTCTCTTCTTTGCACATGAAAAGAGAAATATTGCTTATTTGCTACAGCTGCCAAGAAGTGCGTTTTGAATTAAACAAGGCAATGTGACAGGCTGAGAGCAATCACATGCATTAAAAAAAGAAGAAAAAGAAAACATGCATGTTGGAAAAAATGAATCACACCTATTATCCTCATACTGGCCTGGCCATGTTGGTCTCCCGAAAAGAGATGAGTAAGCTGAAACATAACTTGAAATGATGAAATGTTAAGGTGGAATAACTATATAGCATTCTGTTACTTTAAAAAAAAATATTTAGGACTTCACCTGCAGAAGTCAATTAGTGCTGAAATAGCACAGCAGCATGTCAAGCTGAACTGTTTTCACAAAGGGAGCACTGAACCTGTGGATTTCAGTGTTAACAGAGATCCATAGGTCAAAAGCTTAGCAGGACTCAAAATCAAGTCAGGCAGTAAGTAAAACCATGTCTGAAAGGAACCCTGTGTTTAGGTTTAGGAGATACTTTGCCCAGGGGGAAAAGCTATGAGTGAATACAGTTGGTATCCTGAAGTATGAGTGTTTATTTTCTTTGCAAAGCTTTTGTTGTAGGATCTAGCTGTGTTTGCTATTTCCTGGTTACTCTGTAACACAAGTTAAGTGTTTGGTGTTTTTGTTCAAGGGATTTGTGTGTGTTTTCCTTACAGCCAGACAATATTTATACTCCAGTGACATGTATACATACAAATTCAACTCGAGCATGGTTTAGCGGTGGGCTTGGCAGTGCTAGGTCAACAGCTGGACCCAGTGATCACAAAGGTCTTTTCCAACCTAAACTATTCTGTGTATTAGATGGGAAATGTTTTAAATTAAGACCTGTTCTGAACTATCATGTGTCAGGTCTATGACCAAGGCAATGAGGTAAAGAATAATCATGCCCTACTAGCAGTGAGGGTTTTTTTCTTAAAATGTCTTGCTATTTTTCTCTGAAGCTTTTGGCATGGGCTACTGTCAGTCTTGGGGCTCTGGATCAAAAGACAACTGTGCATTGCTCTAAACATCTGTAACACCATTGCTGCACAGAGCAGCCAGTACTTCCACAGTCAGGATCCCCCAGCCTGAGATCACACGCCTGGCTCATGGGCATTGCCTGGATGCCCTCAGTGTACAGCTCCCAGTACTACTCATTTTATTGCTCATGGGCATTGCCTGGATGCCCTCAGTGTACAGCTCCCAGCACTACTCATTTTATTGCTCATGGGCATTGCCTGGATGCCCTCAGTGTACAGCTCCCAGCACTACTCATTTTATTTTAGGTGGCAGGTGCTGCTTGGGAAGAGCTTGTGTGCTAAGAATGTGAATGACCAGCACAGAAAAGGTCTGGAAGCATCACACCCTGAGCTGAACCTCACTGGGCAGGCTGCCCACAACATGGGCCTCCAGCATTAAGTTGCCTTCACTTGGAGAATCCTTGTGGACTTAGGAGCACAGTGATGCTCTGATATTGCCTGTGAGGAGAAAATTTAGGAGTTGGTAGGAGTAGCCAGTTGTCTTTGTGTGAAGCAGACCTAGCTGGCATGAACTGGTACTTTGCTGTTACTCCCTTCTTGTACCAATGGATACATCTTGCACCTTGGACTTCCCAGACATTGCCCCATTCCCAAAGAGCTGAACTTAAATACTCATTATTTTTGCAAGTTCACAATGATAGCCAGTAATTCCAATGAAGGGTGGGCATTTACTCCATTCCTGATGATCTGCAGTGTTTTCAGCTGGAATACTAGTGGCTGGCTGAGTGAGAAGGTAACGATACAACACAGTATCCAAGATTTAAAAGGCAGGGCAGTGCCTGTCTCCAGCAGCAGGTGGCAGTGCAAAATGCTTCATGGTTGCAGTTAGGGAAAAAAAAAAAAGGCAGCAAGATTCCAGAAAATACTCAACTCTCCTGGAGCGAAGCTAAACAGCCTTCTGTTTCACAGATCCCGTTTGGCTGCTCACTACAATTGCATCAACTTTCCTAAATGCCAACATGCCCCCAAATCACACTGCTTTCCATAAGAAATGATAGGATGCCAAGAAACGGAAAGTGGCCTTGACAAATCGTGTGACAGAAGAGAGAACAATCAAGCACTAAAGACAGTGATAACCGTGAGCCACTGACAGACCAGGCTCATTTGCACAAAACGACCAGAAAGTTCAAGATTGCGTTGGGAGATGGTTCATTCTCCCTCTGACCTCCCTCTGACTACTAGTAGCAGTTTCAGAGATGGAGAGAACACACCAAAAATCAGTATTTTACTCAGTTATTTGCTCAGGCCACCCCAGTTCCTAGTTCATCTGTGCCTCAGCAGAGCTGCCTGACGAGTACACATGAGAAGTCCTTTCACACCCTTTCTGTTTTCCAGCAGAGCAATTCACCCCATTTTCTTTAATTTATTCCAGTGCAGCCCTAATTAATGCCTGTACCTGTGTGAACCTGGAGGCAGGCAGAAAACTGAGGTGTTTCAAGCACAAGTCTGCACAAAACTGTAGCTTTTTTTCTGTTATCTATGATGTTGAAAAGAGAGCAACAGCAACGATGACTATACTGGGGACTGCCCTGATTTTATTTAGTCCCGTGGTAAATCTAAGTTCTAAACTTCTAGCACAGAATTACTTTATGTCCTAGACTCCAGAAAGCATTTGTATTCATGCAAATGTATTAAATCTCCCTTCTTGCATTCTATTACAGTTCTAATTTAATTGCAAAGAATGATCTGTTACAGTTCATGTACAAGTTCATTGAGGAGAACTGTGTACAGCATTCTGAATGCAATGCCCCAACAATTAAAGGTAATACATGTTGCTCAGGCAACAGCAAGAGACACAGGGGAAAAAATATTCATAGCAGATGAGAGGCAATATTCATCAAATGAAATTTTGTAAAAACTGTGGGGAAAGAAAAGTCATAATCAGCTCTCAGATTTTAATCACAAAAAGGAGTCAAAATTCAGCCAAGAAAATATAATTTTTCTTTGACAGTGCTAGCAATGTAAGACAAAGTCACAGTGAACTAAATCAAGGCATGATTCAACAACTATTACAGTTTGCTGATGCCAAATGAAGATTGAGGCCAACATGTTTTGTCTGCTTTTGGAGATCGACCAGCTCTTTGAAATAAAACTGATGCAGAAAGGTTGGACAGAAGTGCTGTATTTTGCTAAGAACTTACTCTTTAATTTTAACTTCTTTACTACTCTGCTCCATACTGTCATCTCACAGAACTGAAGAGGTTGGTACACACCTTTTGTTTCTAATTATCAGATGTCCCAATACTTTGATGTGGTAGCTTTAAACCCACCCCTTTACCTGTGTTAACACAGATGATGCTCTAATGCACTGGGAACAGAATTTTTACCAAAAGCTATGAGCTAATCTGGAAAATTCCTCCCTACCAGGAGGCTTTGTGAGAACAGACAAGTAAGCAAGTGGTGGTAGCACCCAAATAACCTGTGTTAGAGTCATAAGATTTGCAGAAAAGTCAGTTTGACAGCTGTGGGAAGGACTATTTGGAGTGTCTGTAGCAAGGAAAGCTGGACTACCTGATTGCTGCAAGTGGTATGTCACACCAGCAAAGACTATTCAACTTATATACTGAGTTTCAGGTGTCATTTTCAGCAGCTCAGGGACAACATGAATCCCATTATCACACAGGGAAGCAATGCTCTGGGTGAGGTGTGAGCATCTCTGCTAGCTCAGCAGTTTAAAGACTCATCTCTGCCACTCACTGCCCAGCAGATCTCTCATGCAGCAATGATTTCTTGTCTAAGTAGCTCATTCATGGTTTTATGCTTACTGAACATTGACCATGAGGCTCCAGTATTATATATGCCAACTGTTTTTGAAGTGGATATTTTTCACAATCCAAGTAACAAGCAATGAAGTTCCTCTTTTAGGAGAGCTGTCAAAGCTTAGAAAGTAACAATGCAATGCTCATGCAAGAGCCACAGGTATCTGTTTATAGATGTCCATTCATGTATCACTTCTGTTTGCCTTCATTTACAAACAGGTCAGTGTTATTTTTCATGGTTATGGCAACTTTATATCCACAAAATTTGATGAATAAAATGGAGAGGTGTGAATTTGAGACTCCTGAAAGCCACAGTCAATTTTCTAGAAATTTCTGTACAAGCATAAAGCAAAGGCTGCCTATGTCCAGTCACTGTGGCCATGAGTAAGACAGCCTTGGTCTGCTTAGTGTGGTCTTGTTACTCTAGGTGATAGCTGAATTTAGTAACTTGTCTCTGAGGTGCCATCCCGAGGGTCTTTCAGTGTCAAGTGGAATGCCTTACTCCTTTTAAAACAGATCTACAGCATGTTTACATGCTTATATTACCTGCCACCATCCCAATCCTGCTCCAGCACAGAGCACAAGCAGAGAGCACAAGGCTTATTAGAGCAGCAGTCAACAGGCAGGGAGATTCTAAAGAAGTCTAAAGAATCTGGATGCTTGCCTACACCTGTGTGTCTTTAGAGATTCTGCATCTCACAAGGAGATTGATGAGATCTCCCCTGCTCTGCTACTTGACGTACCTGAGCTGTTGCTTCCAGACAACATGGTTGGGCTGACAGAGGATCTCCCCAGCCTGCTGGACACCACAGGTGGGCCTGGGGTTCCATCCCATTCCTGAGCTTTCCCTGGGTCCCTAGAGGAAGCTGTCCCATGATGTCCTCTCTCTTTGTTTTCCAGCTTTGGTAGTGGTTCAGTGCTGTGACTTCTGATTTTCAGCTCATCTAGTGGTTCTACAAAACACACAAGTGCACATTTGGTTAGAGAGTGTCTGTTCATCATCCATATCATGTAACAATCTTTTGCTCAATACTCCATATGTACCAATCATAAATCTTTTAAAGGCAAGTTTTAGCATGATTTTACCCTCTAGGCCTAAAACCTGTAGGCTTTAATACACTTGTTAATTATTAAAACCATACACCATGAAGCAGATGGATAAAATGCAATTTTTCTGTTACAAATTTATATGCTGGGAAAATAATTCTGAAAATGGTATCCTACCAAATTGTAGTTTAATAACGATTTATAGAAATACTTGAATTCTTTTCAGCTGTTATTTCACTGGGAACAAGTTCTTCTTCAGGCACTTTCTATGGAAGCTCTCTCCTAAGGCAATATTGTGCAAGCAACATATCTGTACTCTTCATAAGCTCCAATAAAAAGCACACAATCCACAAAACAAAAAAAGAAAAAAATCCATTTTGGGTGTGCCCAGCACCATAACCCAGGGAATGAAATTTCACTTGGTTGGAAAATCCTTGGAGTCAGAAAATTACTTTCTGCTTGCAACACTCATGCAGTCAGCTCTTGTTGCAGTGGAAATGCTCTGAGTATGGAGCTAAGGATTTATCCACTTCAGTTTACTTACCAGAGAAGCCTTTGTACTTGTTGCCTGATAAAAATGATTTGTGCATTCGTAGTTTTATTATCAGCTGAATCAAAGCACAGCTGGAAACTATGGAAATATTCAGACTAAATACAGACTTGGTTTATAGTCTACTTCTTTCTAAAGTGTAGAAAATCAGTTTTCAGCTGGCTGTCTAGACTTTGCAAATTTACATTCCACTGTCCTTTCTGGGGGATTTTCAGTTCACAGTTTATCTGAGAAGTAATATATCCTAAAAATGAAAAGCAGATTGAATCAGATTGTAACATCGTGTAACCCATCACAGAGCCTGAATCATTATTATTTGGTGATCACTATCAGCAACATTGATACACAGACAGAAAAACAATATGTCAGTATTTTATATCGTTCCCTGTAATATTACTTTCCTCTTCACTTGTGAATACATAAAAAAGAAAAAAAATAACCAGCGCTTCACTTTTGCTCAAATACTTTGAGCAGGGTGTTAGAATAATAGCAGCTTCCTTACTAAATGTCAATGGGAATCATACTCAAATTCAAGAAAACAAAATTTAAAATTAAAAAAAAAAAAATCACTGTGTGAGTTCTTGCTTTACTGGAAGAGCCACCTCAGTTCTCACATGCCTAAGAGAGCTCCCAAAATGCAGAATGTTCCCCTCCCAGGTCTCAGCCCATTACTGGCACCTTCACTGACTGTCCCAGCCACTTGGGTATGATGGCCATGGGCAAAGCTTTCCACAGTCGAGCGTTAGATTCTGAAAGCTGAAATTATTATGGAAAGTATCTTTATTGTTCAATACTTCTTCAGCCAAAATGGTACATAAAAATGTAAATTTCAAGAAATAATTCACCGCTTTAAATATTTATGGACACAGTTGGTTAAACTGCCATAAAGGCATTCAAATGTTTCAAGCACTTCCAGCTGTCATTGTATTTCAATATTCAAAGATATGCCTTTTTATTATTTATTTCACCTGGATCTCAGGCTTTTCCATTGAAAGAGTAAGATGCTGGCTAAAATCTCTTAGAGAGAACATAATTTACAAATAATTGGCATGTACAATTTCTTCTCTATGAAAGGTCCCCTAATAGCTGTACACTAGGCAAGTTTGGCACGTGAGCTGAGGTACTAGAAAACTCAGAAATGCTGAAGGAAGTAAGAAAAAAACTGATTCACTTAGTTGTAGCTTGGACCAAAGCAAACTGAAATTACAGCTACAGAAAACGTCTTACCTACAGAGCTATCATTCAAATAGTAGATACATCTCTGTGGTCAGTCTGTCACTCTGCTTTTATACACAGATTAATTTCAGGTCCAGGTGACTTTTTGTTGTAATGCTCGGTGATAAACAGCAGCACTTTTATTACTGCTTGAGGTTTTGGGGGAAGAAAGAAAAGCAATTGTCTCAAGGAACTTAAAACAAGGGTTGCTCTGTGCCATCTCTCTCAGCTGTGAGCTCAAATGTATAAGCTAATCATCCATACATTATTAATTTATTCTTTTTTTCTGTGTGTTTGTTTTAAACCTAAATAAATAATACATCACTCTAGGCAGAACTTGCATACTGGGAGAAGCCAATGGTACTACTCAGGGGGTCTAAAATTCAGCAGATACATACAGGTGTAAAGCAAAGTAAATCTTTTGGGATGGGGCTTAGATGTGCATGAGAACTCCTGATCTCCTCCAGCCTCAACATGTCAGACCTCAACTCATCTGACCACAATGCAGGCATGGACCTGGCCAAGGGAGCAGGAGCACAGAGCATCCCCAAGGGCACACCTGGCCATCAGGAAGGGTGGAGATGCAGGATTAGACTACAGCCAGCATGTGTGTGTGATTATCAGAGCTACCAGAGTCATGTCCCAGGCTTCAGCTCCTACCCTGGTACCTGGGGTAGGTACCTGGGCAATGCTATGCCCTTCAGAGAATCCCAGTGTGTCTTCTTTCTGCATACCAGGGCTTTTTATTTACCTTTATTAAAGGTACCTTTTAATGGATTTCTTGATGTGTGGTGCTTTGTCTGATCTACACAGCTATAAATTTATCCCAGCCTCTCCCAAAGAAAAACAATCACCTATTAAGACCATATGCAAGAACATGGATAATGCTCATTGCTTCAGCCATTTTTCCAGAATAGAAGAGTATATTATACTGTCAGTGAAACCCGTATCCTCATCTTTATTAGCTATGGTGCTTTGTCTATTCTAACTCCATCCACTTGCTAATTAAGCAGAAGTTTGCTTTGCATATCAATTTTTAATACCCCTTTTTTTACAATTAAGTAAAAGTTGCAGCAGCCAGCTTGTTCAATTAAAAGCAGCTTTGACCTAGTTCCATGCAAAATCAATAAAAAGCCTGAAAGAGTCTTACAAAACATCTAACATTTAAGAATACATGGCCAAAATGTGTCTCAGTGTTCACAGAGCACATGTTCCTGTGAGCAGAGTAGGGTTCATTTGGTTTTATACAGTGAAATCCAGTGGGGATCACATCTGCCTGCTACAGGCAGCAAAGGGAGGGAAGAGGGACTGCTGAAGAAATGTGGTTAGCTGATTTTCTGTGGCGGTCCCAAACCTGCTCAGTGAGCAATCCTGCCTAGCAAAAGAAGACAGGAAAGAAAGCACTCCACAATGCAATTAACTGGTGACTAACCAAAGAAGGGATAGATTTATGCCAAAAGATCAACCAAGGCTTTAGAATATTCAGCAAAAATCATGACTGTTCTAATCTGGTTGAAGGAACTAGAATAGAATTCTTTTAAGTTTGGATAAACTTCAGCTGGCATTATCAATCACTTAAAAGACTTTAAAGCTTTTAGAAGTTTTAAAAATTCTGCATGGTAAGATGTACATTTGTCATCTTTTGATGTCCTATCATAAGAGGGAAAACCCTCTTGTATATTGATTGAAATAAAGGAAAACCTGTTTTTAGTATTACATAAGGAGAGTCACTTTCTATCCCTGGAAGTGTTTGAAAAACATGTGGACATAGCACTTGGTTTAGTGGTGAATGTCTTGGTGGTTTTGGGTTACGGTTGGACTTGATGATTTTGGAGGTATTTTCCAACCTTAACGATTCTATGTTGGATCCAAGATGATTATATTTTGGTGTATATCACAAAAGCAACGACCACAGGGTCATCATTATTTCTTAATGATTTCTTCCAATACTGTGCTTGATCTTTCAAGTGTGCCTATTCTACTGCAAGTCACCTCATAGCCTTATCCTCAGACTGAAAGAGCCACATCTGGAAGATATGCATTATACAGATGTATTAACAAAACAAATAAAAATAATGTCCTGGGACTCAACATTAAATCAAACAGCATTCTAGGCCAGGATGCTCTTTTGGCACTCTATTAACAAGTTGTGTATTTAACTTAGGCCAGTCACAAGTACATTATTAAGCAGAACACTTCTTTTCTCTGACATTCACTGCATTTTAAAAATTTTCTTTTCAGAGTTAGGAATGCTGGAAATTGGTGACTTGCACTTAGAAGAACCTCAACAGAAACCTATGTCCTCCAGTCCCTTCTTGGACAAAAAAAAAAAGCTAATCACAGCAAGGCAGAGGGAATTCTTCCGTTGACTTCAATAGAGTGAGGGTTTTCCTTCCAGCAGGTATTGGGGCTAGCTAGCCATGCTGATTCATGTGAACGTATAGCATAGCTGATCCTGGTGAGCTACAAACATTTCTCTTACACAGTTTGTTCACCCAGTTCTCCTGCTGATAATCCAGGCTGCCCTTGTAGTCAAACAACTAAATATGTGTGCAACATTTCAGACTCATAGATAGGTACAAACAAGGTCTTTGTTTGCAACAAATAGGAAGAAGGCAGAAACTACTTTGAAAGGCCTGAACACTGCAGTCTTGTGAAATTTTCTTCTCTTCCCACTTTCCTCTGTTGGTATCATTGACATTAGCCTTGGACTACACAGCAACATGCATATGCACACAAGCACATACTGCCACCCCCACCCCAAAACTCCACCCTGATCAAACAAAACACTGCCAGATGAAACATGCAATGAAACCGTGGGAATCACTTGCTCTAAAGGGTTGCCCAACTGTTACTAAACATTCGATTTGAAGAGAAGATGATGCCTACTCTTGCTTAAAGGCTTTCCTCCTCAGCCCTGCTCATTTCACTGCATGCTCATTCTGGTATTCAGGTTCTTAAAATACACAACCTTCATGTCTGGATGAGGGCAAGATGGTTTGATGGGTCCTGCACATGTCCTAGCACAGTAGAGCAAGAAATCAGAAGGCAAGGGTGAGACAAAAGAGCTAAATTATACAGACATGTCAAGAAAAATGTTTTTTTGTAGAAAGTTCATGACCTCAAGTTTCAAAGCTTCAC